TTTCGGTCTACAATCAAGTATGACGAATTCTAAGATCTAGTAATTTTTTTACTGAAAATAAATACGATTTATTAATAAAGTAAGAAAGTTGCTGGCATGAATTAAGGACGAATAATACTTAAATTAATACACACACTTTGTAAATTTGAATAGGTTTATAAAAAAATTCTAGTAAGAGAAAGAAGGATTAGAAACTGAAAATTAAATTACCGAGATATATCTAAATTATGCGTATTTTTTGCGCCTTTTATACCGAGCACTTTCACAATAAGCAGCTCGGATTTTTTAGATTTGACAGATATTTAAATCCAAATTGTGCTTTATGTGACACATTTTTCAGCACGAACGGGCTTAAATCAAGACTGTTTGTACTTGACCATAGCACGGTGTTTTCCCTGAGTGCATGATTTCTAGAACAATCCGCAAGGCTGAAGAGCACTTGGCCGCAATCGTGATATAATTTTTAGCTATAGTACTATGGTCGTTATCAATCGTACTATTTTTACGAAAAATTCATCCATCAGGTGAACCGTTGCGCTATTTCAAAGTAAGATGAGTCACGTTATGCAGCTCTCAAACAGGGACAACAGCAGATGTAGTAAATTCAATACATTGCAAGCTTCCTATATTGGCCTTTATTGGGCCTCCCTTAGTCGAGGAGTTTCTATCAACGGTTTTTGGTACTCCAAATACCTCGTTATCGACGAAGATAACGAAAATCCTATATGAAGTGGTGGCCAACTGCAAAGTATGTTCAAAAGGAAAATCTAACTGGCAACCAGAAAAAAATGTAATGGGAGAAACACCTATCTATCATATCTGTGGGACTGGGTTGTGATTATACTTTCCAAATAAGTTGAACGCGATCCCACTTATTTTATTATATGTATTATATTTCGTATTTTACGTCTTTTCCGTTCGTCTCGCGAATTCTTTCTGTTTTTTCTCGTCTTGTTCTCCATTTTTTCTTTACCACCAGCTACTCTAGGTTGGCAGACCAATCCCACAAATCGGCCATCCTACACCGCATTCGCCTCGAATGCGTCGTCTTCATTGTCGTCATAAGGAATCCACGGCTTTAGATACTCAGCGCAAGTGCTCGTCTGCCTTGGGCCTTCGCTAAATACTGAGTCTTTGGTTACGTCATATGTATCATTCAATTTCACCCTTACAATACGGTATGGGCCGAGATACTTCGGCTTTAACTTTAGGCCTGGACCAAGCTGAGTCCTTTTAATAGCAACTAAGTCGCCGACTCTGTACTTTGAGGCTGGTCCTCGTCGTAGGTTATATTTTCTTTTATTTTCCTCCTGTACTTTAAGAATTTGTTGCTTGGCTTGTTTTCGAAGTTCATCCCGATCGTCGTTGAAGACCTGAATCATTTCTGCATTTAACATTTGCTGGATCTGTGTATCGGCTTTAAGACGCATCTATGTTCCCGTCAGTAACTCAAAAGGCGTTGTTTTCTTGCTTCTGCAAAATGTTGAGTTGATGACCTGTTGTACGCTGCTGACAAACTTAAACCATTGTCGTGGATCATCTATTGAGAGTTTTGAAAGAACAGCAATTATCGTTGTATTAAGCCTCTCGATCTGACCGCTGGCCCGTGGAAGGCCCGTTGTGATAAGATGATGCTTAATACCTTCGCTGTTGCAGTACAGTTGAAAGTCTTCTGACGTGAACGCAGATCATCTATCAGAAATGATGTGACTAGGATTGCCGAAGATTTTGCTTTGCTCGTTAAGTCTCGATACAGCATCTTTGGTAGACGTCGTCTTAGTCGGATAGAGCCAACAAAATTTGGTGAAACTATCGATTACTGCTAGTATGTGCTTATACTGTATGTGAGTGATTCCAAAGGGCCAAGAAAATCGATGTGATACGTTTGCAGCGGCTATTCGTCTTTGCTGAGTGGATGAAGTTCGCCCTCTTGCTTTCCTTGCTTACGGTTGCTGACAATACAAGGTATGCAGCAGCTTATACACTTCAGAATTTCTCCTTTCTTTTCTACGGTTTTGGTTAGAGCATTACAATCTGTTACGAGTCGAAGTCGCAAACCCAGTAAGTAGTCCCTGAACTTTTTAAAGGCTTCAACTACAGCTAAGATTTCGAGCTCGTAGCTTGTGAACTTCCATTCAGCTTCGGTCGTTTACTTGCTCATGTAATATACCGGATGCCACTGCTTATCGTCTGGACTCTTTTGTAACAAAATTGCGCCGAAACCGTCGATTAAAGCGTCCGTATGTAGCTCAGTCTCGTGTTGCTGATGGAAAATTTTTAGGACTGGCTTTTGCGTGATGAGAATCTTCAGCCTGTTAAACGCATCTAGCTGTTAGTCACCGAATTGAATTTTCGCATCTTGTTTGGTCATATCAGATAGGGGTTTCACTATCTACGAGAAATTGGCGAAGAACTTGCGAAAATAACCCACCAAGCTAAGGAATCTCTGTAGCTGCTTTAGGTTAGTCGGAACTGGAAACACAGCATGTGCTTTGGATGGAGACGGACTTATTTTCAGATTTTCAATTATGTGGCCCAAGTACTCGATTTTGGTTTTTAGAAAATTACACTTTTTGAAGTTAGACAGTCCATATTCTGAGCATCTTTTCAGAGCTTCGATGATGTTTTCTACAGACTCTTTTCCGGTTTTCACTAGTATTATAATGTCGTCGACGTATGGTATGGCTACACCTTTACAAGTCAGGTCTCTGAAGATAGCATTTACATGTCGCTGAAATACGCTCGGCGAATTTAAAAGCCCGAAAGGAACCCGAAGAAACTGGAATTGTTCATTGTGTGTGACGAAAGACGTATACTTTCGGCTTCTTTCTTCTATACGGACGTGAAAGAATCCGTTTTTTAAATCTATCGAGTTAAAAATGCGCGGGTCCTTCAATCTGTCAAGTTGATCTTCGATCAAAGGAAGTGGAAAATGGTCTCTGATAATGACTTTATTGGTTCGCCTGTAGTCGATGCATAAGCGATGAGATCCGTCACGTTTGTTAACAAGTACGACTGGGCTGCTGCATTCTGACTCTGAGGTTTCAATTACACCGTCTTTCAGCCACTGGTCGGTTTGTTTATCTATGATGCATCGCTCAGAATACGAAAATCTGCAAGGTCGTGAATGTATCGGCTTATCGTCATTAAGAGTCAAACGCATTTGAAAGTTTGTGGATTTTGTGCTTACCGCTTGATAGTTTTGGACAACATTGTGTACTACCTCTTTAGCTTTCGCGCTTGCTGCTGGTTCGATGTCCGCTACTATTTGGTTGCAGTCTTCAGTATCAATATTATAAATCGAAGTGATATCTGCCTCGGCACTGGTAGGTTTGGTTACTTTCACGCCCTCACTGGATATTGTCAATTGAGCTTGTTTGCAAAATTCTTCACCAAGAACCATCTCCTTGTCCAGGAATTACGACTCCACCACCAGAAACTTTGTTACGAAATGTTCACCATCAATTGTTATTTTATGTTCAAACGAGCCCGACGGTTTGATCTTGTTTTGGTCTGATTTTCCGAACCCGATGAGATAGAAATGGAGATATGCAAGCAGTAAAGCGAGATTGAAATGCGCCACCTACCCGCGATCTCAATATATGGTTATGTGGGCGGTAGACAGATTTAAGCGTTATGGGCGTTAGAGTGGGCGTGGCAAATTTTTTTTTGGACCAATCGATAGGTGTTGACGAGACCAATACATTTCAGTTAAATTTTTTTATCTAGCATGAAAGTTGTGGGCGTCACAGGTTTTCGCGGTTTGTGGGCGTTTAAGTGGGCGTGGCAAACTTTTTTTTAGGTCAATCGATAGTTATTGTTGAGAACAATACATTTCAGTTAAAATTTTCTATCTAGCATTAAAACTGTAGGAGTTACAGTTTTGGGCGGTTTGTGGGCGTTAGAGTGGGCGTGGCAGTCTACTGAAACAAACTTGCGCTGCGTAAGAAGCTCAGGAATCTGTACGCCAAATCTCAATAGCCTAGCTCTCATAGTTTCCGAGATCTCAGCGTTCATCCGGACAGACAGACGGACAGACGGACAGACGGACATGGCTAGATCGACTCGGCTAGTGATCCTGATCAAGAATATATATACTTTATGGGGTCGGAAACGCTTCCTTCTGCCTGTTACATACTTTCCGACGAATCTAGTATACCCTTTTACTCTACGAGTAACGGGTATAAAAAGCACGATTGTACAAAAAACAAAGAGGAACTCTATAGTCGAGTACCTCGACTATCAGATACCCCATACTCAGCTAAAGGGACCAAAGGGAAATGACGATATGTAAGCAGCAAAGCGAGATTAAAATGCGCCACCTACCGACGGTAAACAGATTTAAGCGTTATGGGCGTTAGAGTGGGCGTGGCAAATTTTTTTTTGGACCAATCGATAGGTGTTGACGAGACCAATACATTTCAGTTAAATTTTTGCATCTAGCATGAAAGTTGTGGGCGTCACAGGTTTTCGCGGTTTGTGGGCGTTAAAGTGGGCGTGGCAAACGAGTAACGGGTATAATAATGATTGTGGGCTACATTGTCCTACAAATTTTTCCTACAAATTTTTGAAAAAAACGCATTAGTTAAGCGGGACAAAAAACGCCTTAACTCTTTACATTAATATAATTGTTCTTCCTGAAATCCATGCAAAATGTCAGCTAAATAATAATTTAAAACACCTTTAGAACTTGTAAGCATTTAAGATTTTTCAACTTTTGAGGTCTTACACATTGTCAAGAAAATTCGGGCTTAGCAGTTATTGAGCGTCAAAAACAATTATACACCTTTTAGGAAAGTATACACACAAAACCAATTCTTTACAACCAAAACTTTTGCAATCGACTGAATAAATAGACTTTCTAGAATGTTCTCATTCTACATGCTGCAATATATTGCCTTTTTATGCGAGAAGTTTAAAAAACATTTTAAAATTTAATTAACTTTTATTTTTTATTCATTAAAACATATAATTTATTTTGTGTAAAAAAACTTTCTTACCTGCGGAAATTCCTCGTATTTTTTACCCACACACGTTTTTTTTACTGCATCCTTAAACTCTTGATTAGATATTTTTCCATCCTTAAAAGAACAAACAAACAGAGTAAGATGTAGTTTTAGGTTGTATATCGCTTTCTTATTAAACTTAAAAAATTGTATATATCTTTTTGAAAATCGAAGGACTCGACTATTAGATATCCGTTACTAAAGGGAGTGCGAGGGAGATCGCGAAATGCATGCAGCAAATCGGCGATTCCGAGATTGCACGATTGGTCCGATTTAACAAACACTGTTACAAAATATTCCAAAATGTGGGCGCTGGACGGGCTATAGCACAATGGGCGTTCGTAGACGTCAGAGTGGCATTGGCACTGCTCTGAAACAAACTTGCGCTGCCTCAGTACCCCTAGAGTTCGTATGATATATATATAACTGAACCAATTGGAAGAGGAAAAAACACTTCATATGCTGTTTTCAAAAGACTGTGAAAATGGGCATTTTATGTACTATACACTACGACTATTTCAAGGTAAAGCTTATATATATTTTGCTTAATTAAATTAATTCATTTTTATATTTATACCCTTGCAGAGGGTATATTGATTTCAGTCAGATGTTTGCAATGCAGTAAAGGAGACTTTTCCGACCCGATAAAGTATATTTACTTTGCAGCATAACTAGACAAATCGATCTAGCCATGTCCGTCTGTCCGTTTCTGCGCAAACTAGTCTCTCAGTTTAAAAGCTATCGGGCTGAAACTTTCCCAAAAGTCTTATATCTGTTGCACGTAGTATATAAGTCGGAACCAGCCGGATCGGACAACTATATCTTTTAGCTCCCATAGGAATAATCGGAAAAAAAATTTTGAAAAAATGATATCCTTGGTGTTTTTTAACATATAGCCTCCTAAGCTTGGAAATAACATTGGTGTAGAATAAAAACGTTTTATTCCCGATTTGAGTGGACTGTATTTCATTTATTAAAATTGTCACATTTTCTTGTGTGTCCGTTGCTTTCAGTTGTAGTCTTAACACTGAGTCCTAAAAAATCCCTAAAGTTTGACGCGGCACCAAAATATATTAAAAAGGGCAAAGTTAGTATTTCATATACCAAAGATAGAATAAGATTCAAAATTAAATAACGGCTGTAATGCGTTCATCAACATCCCGGGTCGCCCTGAAACAATGTTTCAGAATTAGGCAGTACAGCTAACTTGGTGATGGGCCGGGTCATCTCTCCAGTAACGTCTTAAGTTTTACCGCGCGTACAAGTCCGTCTGGTCCAGGATGAGATTCCACTACACGGGCTAGTATCCAAGCTGCTGGAGAGTGATTTGAGTCCTTGACGAGGACTACATTGTCTACAGCGATGTTGCGTTCCTTGTTGCTCCACTTTTGGCGTTGCTGCAGGGATGTTAAATACTCTTGGTGCCAGCGTCTTCAAAACACTTGATACATCGATTGCAAGTGCTGCCAATAGTCCAGACGATTGATCTGCAAATGAGTCAGATCTCCCTCTGGAACAGTTGTGAATGAGCGTCCAATTAAAAAATGGGCCGGAGAGAAGTTGGTAAGGTCAGTGTAAGGTGTATAGCATAACGGTCGCGAGATCACCACTGCACTGATCTAAGCAATCAGAATTTGCATTTGTTCAAAGGCAAGAACAGTTTTTCCCACAACTCGACGCAGATGCAATTTAACAGAACGTACTGATGACTCCCACTTCCCTTAGCACCAACAAAATTCGTCCCATTGTCGCTGAAGATCTGTGCGCATTTTCCTCGAAGGGACATGAAACGCCGAAGACATGCCAGGAATGTTTCTGTGCTAAGATCGGTGGCCAGTTTCAAATGTATGGCTGATGTTACAAGGCAAACAAAGAGGCATATGTAGCCCTTAGTTTTTCGGGGATTGCGCCCTCTCCTTTCCTTTAGTATAAATGGACCAGCGTAGTCACAGGCTGAGTGGTGGAAGGGTATTGTTTTTGTTATACGGATTCCTGGTAGATCGGCCATGAATTGGTGCTCCGTGAGTTTACGTTGGCGAAAACATTTCATGCAGTTGTGAACCAGATTTCTTATCAGGTGGTGCGCACCAAAGATCCAGTACCGTTGACGAGCAATTACAAAAAGTGCAGAAACTCCTGGATGAAGATTGTTCCAAGATCATTCTTGTGATGCGGTGCGACTTCGGAAGCAGTATAGGGTGTTTTACATCAGCTGGTAATTGTGATCTGTCCAGTCGTCTACCAACCCGAAGAAGGCCATCTTTGCAGATAATCGGCGAGAGCTTTAACAACTGGGAACTGCTGTGAAGTGGCTTGTTTTCCGTCAGTAGCTAGCGGTCTTCCATGAAACATTTCTGAGCCTCTTGCAGACAAAGAATGCGAGCAGCCTGAATCTCCTCAAAGGTGAGCATCTTTCCATTTGCCAGCGTTACAGATTTAATGGCCTTGGTCTTTTGGATGAAGCGTAAGACGTAAGCTACAACGCGTACCAGCTTTGTCCAGGACGAGACGCTTTGAGTCAAAGCTTTGATTGGTGACAATGAGCAGCTTTCCTGTGCGGTTAATGCGGTGGTCTTCACTTCTTCTCCGCCATGGTTTTCTAAAAAGGAAAAACAGAACTTTTTAGAGGTCAACTTAACCGCAAGCATTTCTGGATCTTGCAGCCATGAAGGTCCCATCCACCATAAGTCAAAATGGAGAGGGTCCGAGGCAAGCATTCCTCGTGTGGCGCAGTCCGCCGGACTCTCCTTTGTGTTTACATGCAAATGTTTTAAACTTAGATGGTGGATGTGAAAGCCACACCATGCATGTACTTCAATGTCCTTGTGTTGTAGCGCAGCATTGACTGATAAGAACAGTCGGCTCAGTAGGAAAGCGCCACACATCTCAAGACGCGGTAGAGACTGCTGCTTCAGCGGAGCAACTCTGGTTTTTTTTTGCTATGAGTGAAACAGATACGGTGCCATCTGCTCGCACCACTCTGCTATAGATGACTGCAGAATATGCCTTGATTGAAAATTCATGCAGTTCGATGTGATCTTCATTGTTTTGGACAAACCGTGGCAGGCGTAAATCGCGAAGGATGTGTAGGTCGTTACGGCATTAATTTAGGAATCGTTTCATCTTCTCTGCAAACAATTCGCTGATAGCCACAATGGTTGGCAGCCACCCAGATTTGTCGATACATTTTGACAATATCTGCTGAGAAGACGAACTTGAACATTCTGAAACGCATGCAAATCGAGAAAAGGTTTCGTACAATACTGGGTCCAATGCTTCGTTTAAGGACCTTCCATTCGTGTCCTTGAATGAACCGTCAAATACGACCCGTAATTTTTGGGTATTTACAGGATGATGTGGCAAGTAAAAGCTCGGCCTTTTGTCAATGTCTTCTGGCGACAGTTCTCGCATGTGGCCCAACTGAAGATAATCTCGCATAAATTGCATGTACTGTGAATGCAAATTGGGGTCTTTCTTTAGGCGGCGCTCTACACCCCTAAATCTTGTTAGCGCTCCCTGAACTGTTCCTTGAGTGCTGAGGCGGCGATATCGTGTCTTCCCAACGTGGAGGTAATTTTGCTGAGTATGTGGGCACGTACCTTCATTGTGTGATCTTAGATCCTTGACTGCAAGTCCAGTGTGGCGCAGCCTCTAGTTGTCTCAGCCTTGATTGACGAGATTCCGGTCACCAAAATTCGTGACGGTGAGCGTGCCAGTCCGAGCGCCTGTACGCACCGCTCGGAGATGTACGACAGTTCCGAACCACTGTCCAAAAGCACCCGGCAGGTAGTGTGCGATCCTGTTGCGTTTCTAACAAACACTAGAGCTGTTGGCAATGCACTTTTTCGTAGCCCTTGTGGCTGTGTTGCGGTTGTTGATCCGTTGCACAAGGATTCAGCTGTGGGAGCCCCTTGTGCCTGTGCGATATGGCTGATGGTGACCGCAGCATCTTCGGGAGCGCTTGGGATGTGCCTTTAATCATCTCGTGAGTGTTTCGAAGTGACAGCTGCCTGCGAATGAAGAATATCTGCATGTAGCAGAGAGTGGTGACGATTATGGCAAAACTTGCATGTGAATTTGGATTCACACTTTCGCGACACATGCCCAGGCTTAAGGCAGTTAAAGCACAGTGATTTTGCCTTAACAAATGTGCGTCTCTGCTCGATTGACAATTCACCAAACTTTGAGCAGGCGTAGACCTTGTGTTCCTTGGAGTTACACTTCCCACAAGTGTTTGTTTCCATCGATACTAAAGCGTGTGACGATCGCTTTGCCTTGCCATGTTGTGGGCTAACCTTGGAGTCTATGCCTGACTCACTTTTGCTGAGCTCGAATTCCTCGCAACATCGGTCTAAAAACTTTAGTAGATCATCCACAGACGGAGATTCCAGTTCCCGGCATCCTTCGATCCAGTGTATAATCCAGCAGTCCCTATTATATTGCCCTGATGCATCCGTCACCTTGCGCAGAACTGTTACATCTGCTGGGGCGGTGTTAACAATGTAACGGGCTCTATTGTACCGATCAGTTAGGCAAGTCCAAGCAGCCTCGTAAGCTGCATCCGTTATTGGCATATGTCGAATCAAGTCAGCTGCTTCTCCAGTGATGTACGTTTTCAAGTGGTGCAACTTTTGTATTGCTGTCAAATGCTGCTTGCTATGGATCGTAGTCTCGAAGATGTTTTTAAAGGCTGGCCACTCCTTGTAGTCGCCAGTGAATAGCTAGGTTTACGTCTCTAATGGACTCAAGTTCTTTCCATACGATGTTGAGCCTTTCCAATGAAACTTGTTGTTCATCAAGCTCCCATTTTGATCCCGCACGTGGATCTTGAGACGCCGTTAGCAAACGCGTAATGCTTGCCTTTGCACGACTTCTAGCTGCCTTCAAAAGTTTAAACTGATCCAACTTGATCAGTAACTAAATTTGGCTAGAAGGACCAAAGATATGATATGTCTAAAGTGTGACGCAGCACCAAAATATATTAAAAAGGGCAAAGTTAGTATTTCATATACCAAAGATAGATTAATATTCAAAATTAAATAACGGCTGTAGTGCGTTCATCAACAAACATTTTT